CTTGGTTTTCACCCATTTGAACTTTGAAGTGTGATCCTCCCAGTGGCAGTTCAGATGTAGAGTCTAGGATTATATTGAAAGCATGAGATTTCTCACAAATGGGATTCCATTATGATCTTTCATTTGGTCTTTCTTGCCTTAAAATGCTAGATACCATTAAAGTATGTTTTCTATTGACATCTCAGAAGAACCTCACTGTAAAGGGCTGGATGAAGTACCATTCTTTCACCCTGGCTCCACCTCACACATTCTCCCCTATTTTACTGGACACCCAGAATTTCAACTTCAGGCAGTTCTTTACTCTATCCCTTCCTTTGCAACTAGTGACTCCCTCTATTCTGTCCTATAATATCTCTTATACCCAGTTTTTTTCTTTCTGTCCCCATTGCTAGTACCTCATATTCATTTAGCCCTGCCATGTATATTATGTGGTCAGATGCACTTCCCAGCCTTTAGACTCTTCCTTTGATATCTACCCTTATCACTGCTTATGTCACTCAGATCTTACACTTCCTTTACACCAATTGAAAAAAAAAAAAAAAAGGCCCGTGTTTTCTGGCTTTCCTGCCTCTCGCTTTGGTTTCATCACTTCCTTATCACTCTGCTTCTAACAACAGCCTTTTCCCAAGCAGACTTCATCCTGTTTCTTGAGCATGCTTCATATTCCTCTCGTAACTTGACCCACATTCTACATTTTTCTTGAACGACCCCTCCCCATTCTCTGGACAGTACAGTCTTCACTATTCAGGAATCAGTCACGACTTAGATGCTATGATGTCTATCGAGTGTCTTCTGATCCCCATCTTGATAGGATTTCTGTCAATCATAAATAGTGCTAACATTGTATATCTTTCCTGTAACATCATGCTCTGCCTTGCATAGAAACAACTAGTATATCTATCCAGGTAACACTTTACAGAAAGGACCATATTTTATTTGTCCTGTCTAGCAAATCACTTTGTAGTACATTGTAGTAGGACATCTGTCCAGGTGTTGGTCATATAAGAGAAATGAATGGATGGGGTAGCATAATCAAGGATGGATCCCAGTGAGAAAATAGAATGCATCCATGGATTGTTGGAAGACCAGGATGAGTAGATGATAAATTCTCATGTAAATGGTCTTGAGGGGATCACATGGTAGAGGGGACTGGAGGAATTTGATGCCTAGCACTCAATACAAATTCATCCTGGTCTGGCTAGCACAGGATAGGTGCCAAAGAGAATTGTTCACTATCTGCCAGCCAGCTCCCCCAACTTTGTAAACAGTAGAGTGATTATTGAAGAGATTGTTAAATACCATGCAGTTAATATATAACAAGATTAGCTCAAATGCCAATGAAGTTAGTGATTGTTTCGGTATCTGCTAAGTAACCACCGAAGTGTCTGAACAATTGAGCCAAGATGGGACGATTTATTTACCTGTTCTTACTGAGAAGTTTGTTTCTCATGGAAAAAGGACATGTTTTAAATTTCATTTTATTTCTTTTTATCCTCATTTTTAGTTCTTTGAGAATTTCATACAATGTGTCTTGATTATATTTACCTCCCTCTCTGAACCCCTTCCAAATCCAGCCCCCTTCATTCTGTGTTGTCTTTTAAACCCATCAAGTAGTTTGTGTTGCTTATATACTCCTAGATGTGTGGTCTTCTACTGAAGCGTAGTCAGCCTTCCGGGGCCACATCATTAAGGAAAATGACTTTTCCTCTCCCAGCAGCCATCAGTTGCTAATAGGTATTAAGCTGGTGGTTGGATTTGCTATTCACCCTTCCCTCTCTGTGCTGGGATTTTATCTGGCTAGATCCTGTGAAGGTTTTGTGCATGCTGTCTAGACTAATGTGAATTTGTATGTGCAACTTCCCTGCTGTTTGTGTCAAAACACCATTTTTCTTGTGGTCATCCATGGCCCCTGGCTCTTATAATATTTCTACCCCCCTCTTCCACAATCATCTATGTACCTTGGGAAAAGGGGATATGTAGTGAGAAATCCACATGCATCTGTTTAAGGGGTAACAAGGATTTATTAAGATATGAAAGGGGGACATACACTCATGAATACAGGATATGGTAAATCCAGTTGCAGAGTCCTTGGAAAGCTGTGGACCCATCACACACTGCTTCATGTTGTCTGACCTGGTATTCACCACCCAAGAGAGTGTGACCCCTCCCTCCTTTTTTTAAGAGGTCATGTCAGAAGTCGAGAAGCACCACCTCTATCAGGCCAGACAGCTCAAGGTCATGGGCAGAGCGAATACCCACTACAAGGATGTGGTGTGAGATGTCTCATTTAGGGCTGAGCATTCTTTAGTCTTAGTCTCTGTACTTTGATCATTTGTGGGGTTTCTATGTTAATCGTCATCTCCTGCAAAAAAGATTCTCCAATGAGGGTTGAAAAATGTACTAATTCATGGTTGTAATTATAATTCATCAGAAGTCAGTTTAATACTATTCCATATAGCAGAGTAATAGTATTACGTTCTCTCCTGTGGTTTATGACCTGTCTAGTCACAGATTCTTAGCCCTCATAATGGTACCAAATGTGGATTTGATCTTGTGGAGTGGGACTTAAATGTGATCATAAAATGGTTGGGACTCCCATAACATTCATGCCGCTATTGCCCCAGTGGGCATATCTTACCAGGCCAGTTGTTACTGTAGCTTGCAGGGTTCATAGCTGGATAGGACCGATGGCTACTGTTCTCTGGTAGTGTGCCCTAGTACTTCCCAGCACTATTAAAGCTAGCCATTAGGGATAAAGCTTTCAGATGAGTACTAGTTTGGTTTCTCAACATTCTTTCTATGACTCAGGTATGAGGTATCTTCTACAATAGGGTCTTACCATCAAGCTCTGTAAGGTACCCAGGAACATTGATAATAAATAGATCATAATGCTTTTAGTTTGTTGAAAGGTCTAATTTTGTGAGTGTTGACATTAACATTGGGGGCCAGTGTCCAAACAGATAGTAATCATGTCTTACAAAGTCTTTTAGGAAAGCTGAGTTATATAGTTGGTGTATGTTGCAAGTAGAATAATACAGTAGTAGGTTGAACACCCAGATCATACTGGTTTGTCATTATTGACTAACTAGTGATTACAAAGTAGTTCTCTTGTCTTTGTATATTCTCTTATATTTGAAGCAAATAGACCCAAGTATATTTGCCACCTTCATGAAGCCATATGTCCATAGTCTCTATTTGCTTTTCAAAATGAACCAACACCTAAATGAACTGCCGAGTTGCTATAAAATCTTCATCACAGTGTCAAGTTTGGAACTAGAATTGATGTTCTATAAGACTGCATTAGGTACACAAAGCTTGTTAACAGCACTGTTAAGAGGGGCATTTTAAAATAAACTGACCCTACTGAAAGGAATGCCTCACTAAATTATAAAGTTTAGGATTTGTAAAGGTTAATCACCTAATAAAGTAAGAACATTCTTACTAAGTGAAAAGTGTATGTTGATTTTAGGGGTATGGTATTGTTGTAACTAGTCAGTCTGTTATAATTTAATCATCCTGAACAAGGAAATGTCTAGGAGGGTGTGGAGAGCACAATGCCAATTTTCCTAGACTTATTTTTTTATCTAAACATCCTGAATCTTATTCTTATGCCAGTCTCCAGATGACCAAGATTAGGCAAAATTTCAGTTATCTTTTTGAGTAACTTTTCCTTGAAAACTTAAAGGTCAAAAGAACTGGAAACTCATTTACCCATCTATCCACATCACATTCGCATAATCTATGCTGCAGGAACATGAGGACAAGCAAAGCACTGCCCTAGCACCCAGCCTGGAGCATACATGATTGGACAAACTAGTGGTTGTTAAGTAGGTAGCCCAAGGCCTGTCCCAGAGTACAAGTTTTCTCCCTCTCTTGGAGGTAATAACTAAAGCCAAAGCCACTCTTGTTTCTTCCTTTTTTCAATCATGTTTTCTCTGTGTAGCTTTGTCTGTTCTGGAACTTGCTGTGTAGACGAGGCTGGCCTCAAACTTGGGAGAACCAGCTGCCTCTGCCTTCTGAGTGCTGGGATTAAAAGCATAGTCTACCACTGCCCAGCACCAAAGCCACCTTTTAGAATCCAGATGGGCCTGTGGTTTTTAGGATTAATTACACTTTTGGCTTGTCTTAATATATTACTCTAACACATAGGTTTTGAACACTTCCCAGGGGCTGGGTTATATTCTAGATCAGGCCACCAACATAGAGCAAAGGGAAGAATGAGGGAAAAAAAGAGTAGTTATGTTGATGCCTATTGTTAGAAGGGTTTTAGAACTGAAGGGACATCAGATTGGGGAAGAGTAGCAGGGAAAGGATGGGAACAAGATGGGTCCAGTTGGAACTGTGTGGGTGGTCAGAGACTTCACTCTTGGAATGGCTTGGGTGAAGACGTGAGGTGGGGAGAGAAACAACTGAGAGAGAGGCTTGGTGCTAAAGGGGTACAGGGGACAGCAGGGAAGCCTTGAGGTGGGAGCCAGGGAAAAGGAAAGGTTCTATATAGACTTTGAGGCTTTTCTTAGAACCCGCTCACAGTCGCCAACCAATGCTGGCCCGTGGAACTACTATAATGTATGACGGTTGATATCTGTATTCATGTTTTATCATTGTTCCTGGCAGCAAAAAGCGTAAGACAGACCATCTCTACTGTAGATGTATCAGGGTTGTGCATGTGTGGGACCTATACCATTCCATTCTGTCTGATGCTGGGGTTAGAGTGGCTAAAATTTCTCCACATTTCAGTGATCTGCTGTTTGCTGGTACATAGCCAGGAAGACATTAAATGTCTTTAATGTACTTAAGCTTTCTCATTGTAGTATCTAACCTCCTTTAATTACACTGGTAGTGAAAGTCCATCTCCTATAGTTACTTTTAGCATTAGCAGGACAAAATGCATTATTTATAGGACCAGAGGCAAGCTCCTGTGGCATATAAAGTAAATTAATAAGGTTGGCTCAGCATTAAGCTATGTCAGAGCTGAGTCCAAATTTTATTCCGGTACAGGGATGACTTTCTATGTGGCCTCTCTGGCTCTGAAGCTAATTTGGATGCTGAGTAGCCCCACAGGTATTTATATGTAGCGTTTGGTATTTTTACTGGGTCCTATTCTTCTCCCTTGGATCACCTAAAATGGTTAAGAATTTTCTAGTGGGATTAAGGTTGTGATCTCAGGGGAGGGGTGGGACATCTGCTCTTGGTTATTTTTGTGTGAGCTGCTTCCCCTTAAATGTATGTTCACAAATGAGCCACAGTGTTATCATCTGGGGTTGAGAGAAGACGGGTCTAGGTGCTGCTCCTGAACTTGGCCTCTGAGCCATGGCTTCTCAAAGACACTCAGGTAAAAACTCCCTGTTCTTTCTCTTATCATAAGGACAATTGTTTCAAGCCAATGAATCTGTCATTTGTCTAAAGATAATTTTGGATTGAATGATTTTAGTGTTGGTAAATGGTAAGTAAATCCTAGCTGGTGTCTGTTTGTTCTCATGCTGTTTCAAAGATGAAAGTGTTCTTCCTCAAGGACTCTAGCTTAGACATTTGATTTTTTTGAACATTGTTTTGTTTTACATTTTCAGGTTGTTGTATGAAACTTTAAGAGATGATGCCAGAAAAGAAGTTTGATTTTGTTGGGTTTTTTGGGGGAGGGTTATTGGGGATTTTTGGTCATTTCTAAGGTTGCTCCTCAGCTGTCCAGTGCTTGAAACCTAACGGAAGGTGTTTGGGAAAGGTGAAGTGAGTAAGGAGAGGGAAGAAGCATGATCTGTAACTAAAACATCCATGAAGGACTTAGCACATCTGTATTTCTTCTGAACAAACAGTCATAGGTCTCTATTATAGGAAATACGGTATTTGTTATGTTCTCAACTGAAAAAGCTTCCTATCCCCCAGATAAAGACCAGGAGTGAGGGGTTTCCACATGTCTTAGAGCCTGCCATTAGGGAGCCTTTTGGCCCTAAAACAAAGATGCCTGTAAACTAGGGGCTGCAGGACGAACACCCAGTTCTGTGAAGTTAGCCTGCTGTCTGTGTCACTCCCCAAAGCTGAGAATGTGGCTGTTGCTCTGTTGCCCTCTGCCCAAGTAACAGTTCCTTTTCTTGGAGCTGACGAAGTAAGATAGACGGGCTGGAACCAAACACTTGGTCCTGTCTCCCAACTTGCAGGTTAGGGGACAAAGTTCCTACTAATGGTTATATTTGGAAGTTTTATTTTTTTTGAAACTTGGGATTGCCTGTTTATATTTTGACAATGGGAATTTTTTTGAAGAAATTTCCTTTTTGATATTTTAAAGTCCATTTGTTGCAGTGGAGTCCCCACTTTAATTCATTGGTATGTAATTCTTGCTTTGTTTCTAAATGTTCAAAGGCTGTTTGATGATTTTTTCTGTAACCTTTCTTTCTGTCACCCACAGTAACAGTTTTAAAAACATGGTTGCCACATGCCTGAGATTGTGATTATCTGCCAAATGGTCAGCTGTACCAGTTGTCCTAATGGACCTTGACTACAAATCCACTGGTAGAATGATTTACTAATTAAGGGTCAAAACAAATGGTTTAATAGTTGGTGTTTATGGTATACCTAAAAATGTTACTTAAGCTGTTAGGTAATAATAGAATAATAAATAACAATAATGTAATAAAATAATAATAAAAATAAATAATTCCTAAATTGTTAGAACAATGGATTACACTTGTTACATGATTTTTCAATCAAGAAATAACAGTTTACATTGTGTAAAGTTCATTGGTCTATAGAAGCAGAGAATAACCAGTTCCATAGAGGAGAAAGAAGCCCTCATAGAAGGAAAATCAATGTTGCTTCGATATGGACTTTGGTTGAGCAAAAAAGGTTCAGATCTTTGGATTTGGATTCAGTTTTAATGGCCATCCACACAATCAGAGAACATTTTAAGGACAAAAGTGTATACATCCAGCATTGAACATTTATGTCTGCAAAAGTATCAGTTCAGTTCCTTCTACTCTTTTGCTTTTCAAGTCACGGCCCAGGATGAGGATGTACAGGAGTTAAGATCATTTTTATATCCTACAATTACTGGTTCTTTTCACCAGTCAACTGCTCAGTAGCCCTCCTCCATGCCAGGCCTTTTTAAATGCCAGAAATGGGAATTGAGAGATGGGGAATGGGCCGGAGAGATGGCTTAGCCGTTAAAGGCTAGGCTCACAACCAAAAATATAAGAGAGTTAGAGGAAGAGGAGAGGAGTCAAAATGGATTGCCTTCTTAAGTCACCGAATGGGAGTCAAAAAGATTAGGCTGAGGGTAAGACCAGATGTTCCATACTTTTATGTTCCAATTTTTATTCTTTATATAGGTTAAATTCCAAGCACAGTTTCCCCTCTCTCCACTGCTCATAGGCCCTCCTCCCAGGGATATCCACCCAATATGCTGCCATAACAAGTGACAGTAAGGCTAGGCACAAACCCTCATATCAAGGCTGGAGGAGGCAACCCAGTAGGAGGAAAAGGGTCCCAAAAACTTGTAAGAGAATCAGGTAACCCCCACTGGCACTATTAGGAGTCCTACAAGAACACTAAAGTGTACACAACCATAACATGGATGCTGAGGACCCAGCTCAGACCCATACAGGCTCCATGATCGTCCCTTCAGTCTCTGTGAGCCACTATGATCTCTGCTTGGTTGATTCTGTGGTTCATGTTCTTGTGATGTTCCCAGCCTCTCTGGCTCCTAGAATCCTTCCTCCCCATGTTCTATGTGGTTCCCCTGGCTTCATAGAACCAAATATGACTGGCAAAAAGTCAACTAAATGATTCCTAATGATATTCTGCTATACTCATAGATTGGTGCCCAGCCCAACTGTCATCAGAGAGGCTTCATCCAGCAACTGATGGGAGCAGATGCAGTGACCCACAGCCAAACACTAGGCGAAGCCACGGGAACATTTTGTATTCTTAATGACTACTAAACGGCTGCCTACCACTTTTCCACAGCTGGAGAAATTAAAAAGACATGTTCCATGGCCACTGGTCATGAACTTTCTTCCTATATGAGAGACAGAACATGCTGCATGCAGCGTGCCTGACATTAAGATAAAATTCCACAGGTGGACAGAGTAGTAGTAGGATGTAACTTTGTTTTTATTTAACAGTACTGTATCCAGCCCTTCTGACACCAGACAAACTAAAATGCTCTTATCTGCATATCAGTGACCCAAAAGAGCTTTTAATTTTTTTACCAAATGTGGCATTCTAGGGAAGTTGCTAGTAACATTGAATCATTGTGCTCATGTTCTATTTTTAAGCCAAGAAAAACCACTTGCTAAATTTTCTGTGATATTTGATAGACTGCTTTTCAGCTATGACTCATACGCTCCATCTCCCTGAGGCTATTTAGGTGTTTATTCCCAAATGTCTGATGACACATCCAGGTGTATTAGCATGTCTGTGACACAGGTGTCCTATCCATCAGCTGAGGCTTCCTTTCATTTGCTGACTGTCCTCAGGAGTGCAATATGTCCTTTTATTTGCAAGTCAACATTTATTGCTATGGCACCAATGCACTGCACTGAGCAATGAGCAGACTAGGGAGAAGCTGCCTTTTGTTTTCCATCTGGGTGGTGCTCAGTGTCTCGTTGTTAGAACAGGCAGACAAAGCACACAGAAGAAAGCTGCCTAGATAGAGAGAGCACCCACTTTCTCCTCAAATGTTCATTTGAATCACTTGCTTTGAAGGACAAATGGCCATTAGCAAGTTCCTACTTTGTTTCTCGGTGTTAGTTGGATAGGTGTATGATTACATTTGAAGCTAGGTCATTTTTCTTTTGTGTGAGTATACATCTGTGTGAGAGTGCTTAAACGTGTGTGTGTGTGTGTGTGTGTGTGCGCGCGCGCGCGCACGCACGCACACTTGCGCGCACTTGCTTGTAGAGGTCAGTGGTCATTGTTGGGTTTTTCAGTCACTCTCCACCTCAGTTTTGGAGACAGTGTCTCTCACTGAACCCGGAGCTACCCAATTGAGCTAGTCTGGCTGGTCAGTACAAACTTCCAGGATTGTCCTGTCACTCCTTCCTCAGGCACTCACCACTGCAGCTGTCTTTTTATGTGGGTGCTAGGGATCCAAAGCCGGTCCTCGTGATCTCACAATGAGCATTTTACCGATTGAGCCACCCCTAGGCTCTGCAGACCTTTTATTGAGACATTGAAGTTTCTGTAGGCACCTCTTAGCATGTTGGGTATAAATCAAGATTTTTTTTTCTGAAAGAGGAAGCTTCCTTATGAAGTGAAGAATGCTATAGCTTTTGAAGCAGGCATAGAAAGCAAGTCAGGCTGCCCAACCTTAGGCTAGATAGGTAACATTTGATCATTCAGCCACATTTCTCCCTGTATTAAGCTAACCATCCAGAGTTGCTTTCCTTAAATGCATTTATACCAAATATAGAAAAAGCATGACAAATTCACATGACTAGGGGGTATAATTTAGATTTCAGGATCTTACGATGATGGGAGGTGAGATTTAAAATCGGAACATAGTATTTTGCATTGTACAAGGTTCCTTCATCTGTGAAAACAAAAGAGAATTTGATTCATGAAAGAAATTTTTTGTTAGAAGGAAAATCAATATTGCCTAGAAATAAATGCTGAGATCATTGGATCAGAATCCATTGTGAATGCCTGTCCACACACTGAAGGTTTAAAAGGTTAACAGTGGTGAGCTTTCTCCACCTGTCTGCCAGCAGGACACACTGAAGGATTTTGATACGTAAGGTCCTAGACTAGGTCCTTGAGCTTCTGTTTCAGCGGCAGAATTTTCTGTGACAGAAACCTCTCTACCATGTACAAATGAAGGTCACACTGAGATTAAAATTCATCAGAGAAGCGACCCTAGGACACAGTGTCCTCCACAAAAGAAGCACTGGGGGGGGGGCGGCATTGTAATCACAGAGCAGAATTTTCATTTAATGATGTGTGACCTTCCCAAGTTAAAACCACCGGAGGTCAAGGCAGAAGTGTCTGGAGGTTTGAAGGGTATAAAAGGTTGATCATTTCGTGTACTTACTAATTGCTAAACAGATAAAATTATGTCTTAAGTGATAAATGCTGAAGAGTATGAGATCAGCAAGAGGAGAGAGAGAGCTCCACCAGAGAGGTTCATTTTTCTTTCTCATCTGGTGATTTCTAATGAAGGCGGGGCAAGGGGCTGCAAGCCTTTCTCCTCCCATGAATTCTGAAGTGTAGCTCCAACTTTCATGGTGTGCCCCACTTAGGCCATTTATTCTCCTTTAAGGACCTCTGTGGGGGCATTGCCGTTTGTCAGATGTGTTCTTGGCATTGTTAATTCCAGTGAATGTTCTAGTCTTTAGCATACTGTCGATATTTTATATGTGACTGTCTCACTAGTAGGAGTATTAGTCCAGCTTTGTAGTGAGGCACATGCTGGAAGGCTTTGGACAGATGAGGTTGGATAATTCAGGCTGCCCAAAGTTTCTCTTCAATTTCTTGCAAAAATTATTAAAGTTCATGAATTTGACATTACTAACATACTTTAAGTATTCCAGCTTGTTTGTGCATTAGGCAATAAAGCCAACATTCCTAGATGTGCTATTTTATCTTGATTAATAGGTGTTTCCACACAGAGAAATGACTTAAGTCAACTGCTAAAAATCAGTCCTAAAATAGTCCATTGAAACCTGTTTTCTCCAGATGTGGACAGAGTCTGGGTTTAAGTATACTGTTGTGGGGAATCTGAGGTGGTACTGATTTCTTCTGCTTTTAAAATACAATAATTATACTGCCAAAAGTGAAAACTTAAAAGCACTGAGACCCAAGGCCTTTCTTGTTGGTACCATTAACTTAGACATCATCTAATGTCTCCTTGGTATGCTTTAGGACCCTGTGTTAAAGGAATGATATGGAGGTATGTGCTTTCATTGATGGGGATTTTCAATACACTTTGGTACAGGCACGTCCAGCCTGCAACCCATAGATTATATGCATCCCAGAATAGCTACAAATGTGGCCTAACACATTTTGAGATTACAGCATCATGTCACAGTGTCAAAGGGTTGGAACCCCACTCCTGGATGCTTATGTGTTCATCTGTGAACTGTAGATTTTTTATCATTTGCATGCCTAGAAGCTGAGCAGTTCGTGTCCTATAGCTATGGGACTAAGCAGTGAAGACCGTGAGGTTGGCTCTGAAAACACATGCTTTAAAGTGAGGGGCGCTTGGCATTGCATCTTCTCCTCTCCTATAAACCATACGGTAGCTATCCTTCTCTTGAAAACCCCTAGATACCAGCTAGCCATGGGGGCTCATGCCTATAAAAATGGCAACATTTAGGAGGTCAAAGTAGAAGAAGGTTCACCACAAGTTCAAGACCATCCCTGAGCTACAAATTAGCCTTTGTCTTAAAAAAAAAAAAAAGCCGATACAAAACCCCATGGATACCTAGAAAGGGACTTTGCTGTGTTTTCTAGCATTTTTTTCTTTTGTATGACACCAGCACCTCTGTTTTAACCATAAAGTTAGCAATACCAAAGGTAGGGCTCCTTTTAGGTACGATTGAGAACAGTTCTTGAATAGAGAAGTATTTAGAGTCCACTACTGCTTTTCTAGACATTAAAAGAGTGATAGTAAAAAGAAGGAAACAACCTAGTAAGGGAGAATGATTGCTTTTCAGATGTGGCCTAAGATGATAGGGTCTGAAAGGCTAATTCCATCGTGGTTGTTGTGCTGTACAAATTCTATTTCCTTGCCATTGGTACCTAGGAGCTACCAATCATTTGAGTTTCTTGTAGTTACTCTTTCATTTTATTTATTTTGTGATACCAAGGATTAAAACCAGGGACTCATGTGTGTTAGACAAGGATCTTGCCCCTAAGCTGTATACTTGGCCTTTTAAAACTTAAAAAAAATGAGATGACAGTTTCATTAAATTGCATAGGCTAACTTTGAACTCACTCTGGAGCACAAACAGGCCTTGAACCTGATGTCCTTCTGTATCAGTCTCCTGTGTAGCAGGAGTTGCAGGTCTGTACTATAAGGCTGACCTGGCGTATTCCCTTACTAAAGAATTACTTGGTTTCTCAAATCATCCTTTAGCAAGAAAGCTTTGTTGCAGTTTCCACATGGCAAAAGAAAACAATAGTCTCATGTGAGATGGAAGAGACCAGCTAGAACAAATGGAGAGTGATTCTCCACGGGCCGTAGTGGCCACAGATACTCCTGTCTATAGGCTACAGGAAGTTGACCAGATACCTGACAGTAACTGTGGAACTCAAGAAAATAGGCCTGGCTGGCTTCCTTGTGTGTGTGCACTTTGTATCTAACCTAGGTAAATAAGGGAACCTCCCTGGTATTCTTCCCTATTGACAGAGATAGAGAGAACTACAAATGTCACTCATTTCCTTCCTGTGTCAGCTCTCTGAGATGAGGGGCCTGGGTGGTGGAAGTGTAAAGCAGTGGGCACTGTGTGTGTTCCATGGCCTGCTTTGCCTTGTTGAGTGGCAGGCTACAGAGACTGACTGACAGGGGTCTGAGTGAGAGTTCATCAGTCTGTGCGCAAGCTGCCCAAACGGGTTCCCAGACAAAGGGTGTGGTTTCCTTAGCTCACTCTCTGCTATTTGGTTGCCTATGGCAACAGGATCCAAACAACTTGGACATGTGGTTGTATTTAAAAAAAAAACCTGGGAATGGAACCCAAAGCAGGAGTTTGGGGCCATTCAGTTGGTGGAAGAGCCGTGGTGAGTAGCAGGCAACTGCTCGTTTCTTTTCCCCCATTCTTTCTGTAAATTACACAGTGGATGAATAGTTTGGGTTCAGATAGTTTTAGTTCTTGTACTTCTAACTCAAATTCAATAATTGCTTTCTATTTACTCATGTGAATTCCCTTTTTAAGTGGGAGAGGAGACATTAGTACATGTGTAAAGAAATTGGGAACTAATAGAAACTTAAATTTGCTGCCTTCCTAGTGGCAGGGTTTCCCTCAAAACTTGGCAAAGGGGGAGGGTTAGGGAAGGCCTTCCCAGGGTTCTGGGACTTGGCGGGACTGTTCTATATGGTTATCTGGGGCCAGAGCTGGGGTGGGGGCAGGTGGGGAGCAGAGGGACTTTGTTCTTGTGAAAGGGATGGAGTGATTGAAATGATTAGTTTAACCCTTTGCAAAGTCAGTCTCCCAGATTATACTGGAGATTTTGGCTGTTTAGAACAGCAAATATGCCAAAAGGAATACTTGAATGAATAGGTCAGTCCTCACTAGCTTGACCTGAGAAAGATTTGACTTTGATGCCTCACAAAACTGCACCTTACTGTGACAAATAATTCATAATTGTAAAATGTGCCCCTGCCAGGCTAGAATACCACTTCTGTAGCCCTGTTGCCCAGGCCCCGGCTATCAGTAAAGTATCTGGGACAAAACTTTTTTTGGGGGGGGGTCTCTTCAAGGACTGAAATTGCTTTTGCTGGGTTTCAAGTCCAGTTAAACATTTGAAACAAGTGCATGAGGGTTGCAGGTGTGTCTGGTGGTTAGCGACTTAGGTGTTAAACTTCTGTTCTGATTAATAGAATTGTGCAGATGGGAGGGAAGTGGGGGCCACCAGAAAATACCCACCCCCACAACAGGTGCCATGGTATGAGGTAAAAGCTAGCAGGGAAGCTACTGACTGGGCAGGTGGTAGGCAGCCAGGAGCAGTGGCAGCCCAGCCCCTGCTGAGCTTCCTCATCCTGAAGTGTCTGTGCTAGTCAGTAGGCAGCTTGTGTTCCAGTGCTGGGCTGCACAGGGCACACCTGCCTTATGTAGTCATCTTTGTCTTTTCCTGTGTCGCCTCACCTTTCCATTCCCCTTTCTGTTCCTGGTCACTGTTCAACAATGGTTGTATCTCCCAGAATCCCTCTGTGTGGTGACCTTAGCATAGGCTCAGGTCCACTTGTCCTCTTCAGTGTCCTCTGTGAGTCAGCATAGTGATTTCCGACATGTCCTCAGGGAGTCACTGGCCCTTGACATGTGGCACTTAGTGTTCAACTCAGAAACATTTTCTTCCTGGGAGCCATAGTGAAGTATCGGTTGCCTTGGCACTTGGTAACTAGCCAGGCTTAAGTGGAAGCTGGGCCCCGAGGACTGAGAAGGTTTTCTTAGCTGCGTGGCAGCAATGCATGGGACCTCCAGGGCCTTTTGTGGCCGAGCACCCTTGTATTTTCCCTTGTGCATTTGTTGTGCTCGTTTGCCCCTACAGGTCCCTCCAGCTACAAGGTGGGCACCATGTCCGAGAAGTTCGACTGTCACTACTGCAGGGACCCCTTGCAGGGGAAGAAGTACGTGCAGAAGGATGGCCACCACTGCTGCCTGAAGTGCTTTGACAAGTTCTGTGCCAACACCTGCGTGGAATGCCGCAAGCCCATCAGTGCTGATGCCAAGGTAACTGCTGTCCCTGAGGGGGAACAGGACAGGCTGGGCCTCGTGTGTTCTCTTGCAGCCTTACCAGCAATGCCGCCATGTTTGTGTTTTCATCACAGCAGCTTTAAGTACTTGAGGCAGGCTCTCAGCTTCCCAGGCCACTTCTGAAGTCTTTACCTTAAAAGAATGATAATAGTAATATGGGGCTTTGGACTAGATGGCCCACTAAGGCCTTTGCCAGATCTTGCCTTATACAGGTTGAATGGCTTTTACCTCAAGTGCCCAGTAACAGAAGTATTTGAGTTTGGATTTTCTTATTTTATAATTCTTCCACATATTTAATGAAAGGTACATAGCCTGAAAGTGATTTCATACAATGTTTTTATTTTTAGTTCAATATAATTTTTTTCATTTCCCCCTTGCCCTTTCCTCCTTCCAGCCCCCTTTGGTCATTCCCCCAGCCCCTGCACGCTTTCTCTCAATTTCATGGCCTTTGGTCTCCTTTTCTTTTATTGTTGTTCCTTTCTTAAGTAATTGTGTATGGAATGACATTGATGTGCTGTAGCTGAAGGTCCGGAAGGGTCTTGCTTTCCTAGGGACGCAGGATAAACTGTGTGTTGTGCTTCAGCATTGTGACTGTGAGCCAGCACATGAGACCAGATGTACTTTTCTTGTGAGATCTGTTAACCCTCAAAAGCTTCAGATTTTGGAGCGTTTTGGATTTCAGATTTGTGATAAGGGCTCTCCTACTTCTACTCTTATGCCCTTTGGGAACTGTGAGGCTTGCATCTACACTACAGTATTCTTCCTGTTACTCCTAAAAGCACTTACCACAGGGCACCCCCACATGGAAGGGGCTGACATCTGAGTGAGTAGTTACCCGACCCTGGAGAACCTGGTATGTGATGGTAAGGCTACTGGCACTGCGCCCAGTACCCTCACAGTGGCCTCCCTGCTCTGCTTGATGTCCAGGAGGTGCACTATAAGAATCGCTACTGGCATGACACCTGCTTCCGTTGTGCCAAGTGCCTTCACCCCTTGGCCAGCGAGACCTTTGTGTCCAAGGATGGCAAGATCCTCTGCAACAAGTGTGCCACTCGGGAGGACTCCCCCAGGTGCAAAGGGTGCTTCAAGGCCATTGTGGCAGGTACAGACCCCTTCCTACCCTGAGGGCAGACATGATGTGTGCTTGCTTGTCATGGTGGGGCTAACATTGCTGTGAGCTGCTTTGAGATTTTTAGCATATATATGTACACATGTGCGTACATGTATATATGCGTACATATATATGCTCACACACACACGCACACACTCGGAGACTAAAGAACACTGGCGAGAACAGCCTGTGGCAAGAGAATGAAGTGAAGTGTTTGTAGCGCTTTCTCCTTTGGGTGTAGTAAGTGACTGATGCATGCTTCTTCCTCAGGCATCTTTGGGTTAGGTAGTCCCCCTAGTGAAATGCTAAGTCATTGCAAGGGTGGAGGTGGGGGAGTGGGGATTCAGGTACCTCATCCTAAGTGATACTGCCAGGATCCCTTACCTGTGATAGAACCCTGGGTTGGCATGACTGCAAGTAGCACACAGGGATAAGTTGAGGGAGGCCACTGACTGCAGGGCCTGCATCCCCTTACCTCTGGTGGGGGGAGGGGCTGGGGAGCTGAGTGGATGCAGCCCCCTGCAGAGCCTGTCAGTGGGGCTATCCGATTGCTTCCCTCTGCAGGAGACCAGAACGTGGAGTACAAGGGCACCATCTGGCATAAAGATTGCTTCACCTGCAGCAACTGCAAGCAAGTCATTGGGACCGGAAGCTTCTTCCCTAAAGGGGAGGACTTCTACTGTGTGACTTGCCATGAGACCAAGTTTGCCAAGCATTGCGTGAAATGCAACAAGGTATGTTGTGGCGATTCTGCATTGAGTGTTGTTCCCTGGTGTCTGACAGTTTGCAGAGCGCTTGCACACACACTATCTCATTCCATCCTCATCATAGCCCTGTGACGTAGGAATTATTGTGCCCATTTTACAGTCGAGGAGCCTGGGGTTAGAAAGCAGTGCCACAGCTGATTCTGGTCGTCAGTGCGTGTGCCCCTCCATTCTGAGCCTGGCAGCCCTGGCTCTGGAGGCCTGCCTCCTCTGCTTCACTGGTTTCTGAAGAGGCTCACCTTCTCTAGGCCTTGGTGTCTTCATCTGTAAATTGGGAATAATAATAGCACCTGCCTCCCATGGCTGTAATGTTGATGAAATGAGATACTGTATACCAAAGCACCCAGCACAGTGCCTGGTTGTTGAATCTGAATCCCGGTGCTACACTCCCTGGTCTAGGCCATCACATCTGGAGGAATCACTTTCCAGGATCAGCCCTGGCATGCCGAGTGCTTTGTGTGTGTTACCTGCTCTAAGAAGCTGGCTGGGCAGCGTTTCACCGCTGTGGAGGACCAGTATTACTGCGTGGATTGCTACAAGAACTTTGTGGCCAAGAAGTGTGCTGGATGCAAGAACCCCATCACTGGTAGGCTGAAGAGTCCTTGCTAAGTCTGCCAGGCTAGGTTTTTCGCATGGTGACCATCTCTCATTTTCTTGTGTGGGTTTCATCCACAAAGGCCCCCAGACAGTGCCCTTCTGCCCCTACCATTGTGGCCCCAAAGGCCCCCCAAAATAGTGTGTATCATCTCCCAGGCCAGGTTAACCCTTGCCATGCAGAACACTTCCTGACTACT